GTTTCATGAGGCGTTATTTTGTCCCTGCAGCTTTGTCTTCCTCAATCAATGTGATTCATAAATACGCTATTATATTTAATGTATTTCCATGTTCTGTCATTGTATAACTAAAGGGGTGGGGGTGGAGTCAATAAGACATAACGGAAGAAAAAAAAAAAAAAAGAAGACAAAGAAAAAGGACTTACCTTGCATGTCTTCAGACCACAGAGTGCTGTGGAGGGGCGCTCCCTACTTTGGTAATACTACATGCTGCAGTTCAAACTACTGCAGTGGTTAGGCTCATTCAGTCTGCGTGTGTTCTTCAAACACATCATTCATTATCTGAGGATCTGCACAGGTTCACTGAGCTGCCCAGCTTTCTAAAGCCAAGTCCAAGTATAACATGCTACATTTGGACATATTTTTCGCAATTTGTACATCCCAATTTCAGCACCAGTACCAGTGGGGCCTTGTTTCCCCAAGTCCGCATGTAAATACATTTAATTAAAGTGGACAGAGAGCCAGTTGCCCCTCTGCAAACCCTCCAGAAGGGAGCGCCCAACATGAGTAGAAAAGAAATGAAAGATCATACTTACATCCTATCCTCGCAACTTTTTCCAAAGCTGAGATTCTGAGATTCATCTTGCTCTAGTCACCAAATGAACTCTACCACATTGGTGGGGTTTAATCAATAGATTAGCTTTAGATGGAATTTAACATTGTGTCCATGCACTCTGTGTGATGACTTTAGCTTGTGCAGAGCTAAAATGTTTAGTCTCAAATCAGTATTATAAATAATGATAGTAACTCTTGCCCAATTTGGAAATACTGACAGATACTATAAAGCCATCTACGAGTGGTTGACGTAGTACGTGAATACTACTAAATAAGCTTTTAATAGATACTATAAAATATTTGAATCAACATCTACTACTTTCCATTCCTTTAATGTATGAATTTCGCTAACTAATTAATATATGAATAGACGACCTCCATTCTATGGTTGTAGTAACAGTCTTACGGAGGAATTACCTCCATAAGATATATATAAATTGCAGCTCCACTTGCTGTTGAGAAATTTATAATTACAAATGTGGAGGATTTCTTCTCCAAAACTTAAATTACACAGTAAAAACAGCAGTTTGATACATTACCTTGTGTGTGTCGCGGAATTTACTGATCTCTCTGGAAATCAAGTCTCTCTTGTCATCCTCCATCTCCATGGCATTGATATCCTCCTTAGACAAAGGACAGAAAAAGGGAAAGAAAACACACTAAGTACTCCGAGTTACTGTGAGTGAGCTACGAACGACAGAGCGTCTACATTATGCAAACAATACCTCCTCTTTCTTCTCTTTCCGCTTCTTGTTGCGAGGTTGACTGTCAGGGTCCTGCGAGGGAGCATTGAGCTCACTTGCATACTCTCGGATCAGGACGTCTATTGCCCCCTTCACCACCTGGTCCCGACGCAGGGTTTCCTCATCAAGAAGCTCCTCCTCATCTTCGTCCCCATTCTTTGA